GGGGGGGGGGGGGGGGGGGGGGAAAAAAAAAAGCACAAAAGCGCATGAACTTTTAACCGTGAAGACTAAAAATAGTAAAAAATGTCCTTAATGTTTATTTTGCTTGTTTTCATCAGACTTGGGCTTATCACTTTTCAAAAAAATTTTTTGATGAATGAACTTCACTAGCATAAATAAAAAAATGTAAAAAACCAAAAGAATATCCCTTAACGCAAACAAATTATTAAAACTGATGTAAACAGTGCATTTTTATACTAAGCATCTTCAAAGAGACCGCTACAAAACAATGAATTACTGAGGGCGCCACAGCAGATCGGTAACTTTATTCTAGTGTAGACTTTATTCTTTAATACTAACAATAACAAAGTTAAGCCAATGACTTTTGGAAAATGTAAGTACCATAAAGCATATCTAAATGGTTAAGAATAGGAAACAAAATAACGAACAACAAACTCAGTAGATTTAAGCTACTGAGTAGATTAAAACGACAGCCACCAGCCCGCAAAAAAAAAAAAACCATTCATTCAAAATGCAAAAATAATTTTCTCTCAAAGTCCCCATTCCAATAAACAGTGTCTTCAAACAGTCATTAACGCGAACTACAACAGTGAACATTAACTTTATGTGGTAAACTATATTCTTGACTAAAAAATTATAATCAAAAAAAAAAAAAGAGCACTGCTTATTTAACAAAAACAGAACCATTATGCATTTTCTACAGAAATAATCAACCAAACAAGTATCAACTGCTGCGATGAATTACGCTTGAAGTTATATATTAATTTTTATTTCTTAGTAAAACCTTTAGAAAGAAATTGATATGAATAACAGTTGTTGAAAATAACAACCAAAAGTAAATTTTTGATATATTTAGCTAAACTTTAGCCTAAATCATCAGAATACAAAGACAAAGCCAAACGAGAAACTGCAAAAAGGTAAAACATAATTCTCGAATACTAAATAACAATAGCTCACCTTTTCTTTGACCCGCGTCTTCTGCTTCTTAAATTTCTTACTAAACAATTCACTCATCCTGATAAAGGACCACCGAGCTTCACTCCCAGAACCCTAAAAATGAAACCGAAATAAGGAAAGCGAAGGCCTGAGAAAGTGAGAAAAAATGCACAACCCAATAGTTGGTTCAATATACATATTGCACATTCCACATGGGGTGCACTCGCAAACCACAAAACAAAAACATCAAATGCACACTCTTTCTCTCTCTGTGCATTGCATTCCGTTCTCCAGCCACTCCAAAACACTGTTTTCTTCGGCATCTCTATTATACACTTTTACACACATTTCAATTTTTGCCTTCTTTGCACTCAAAAAATGCTTCCGCCGTTCCTAATTCTACTATTCCAATTGCATCGATAGGAAGCACAGAGGTAGAAAGAGAGATTTCCTATTTCAAAATAATACTCCCCCTAATTCAGAGCCTCATTTCAAAGAGAAAACCCGTTTAATCCTGGGTTGTTATTGAACCATTTGCAAAAAACACGGCGCAAACTCACTATATGAGCATAGTCATAGAACTCTAGTCCAGCAGATATTCTTAGCAACATCGCCTATAAAACTAAATAAAAAAACAAAAAGTTCCCAACACTTATCACACTTTAATGTTTGCCTTCAGAAATTCCTGACCTATAGCACCGACTCTCGCTCACTGACCTATGATTCGCCTACACTTAATAAAAGCCATCTCAGTATTCTCAGTATCAGATGAAACATTGGAGACGAAAAAGCAAAGAAAGCATGAAAATTTAATATTACAGCCAAATGACAGTTTAAAAAAGCAATATTAAAAGCTACAATTTATCTGACAGACTCCAGCTACCATAAGACTTTAAATTCTGCGTTCCTCAGTTGTATATATAAACAGACTATAAGAAACTGCATGAAATAAAATGAAGGGAAACTTAGGGAAAAAGCAAACAAATGGTAGACAAAAAAAAAAGAATGAAAATAAAACTTGATGACACATACTAGTTCAAATAAAAATAAAAACACTTGCAGAAGAAGAAATAATACATTGAAACGGCGTGGTACATCGGGGTCCAAGAACCACTTAAAACCAACAACAATTGTAGATGAAGATAAATCAATCATCACTGGATATAAATGATTTCAAAAATCGTAAATTTCCACATTCCAGAAACTTTTTAGACCCTGCTTACAGATTCAGGCAATGATTTCAGATTTCTTCTTGTCTGAATCAAGTATAGTAAATGCTTATCGCTCTCTCTCTCAGCTTTTTTTTAATGGTACTCCATGACAAATCATTCAACAAAGCAATACAACAATATATGCAAAAGGAATTAGCCATAATCGTTCCATAACTTTCACTGCAGCTCTATTTACAATCGTCACCATCACTTCCATTAACACCATCTTAAATCAATGAAGAATAAAATTGCACAGCGGCC